AGGTGCTTTGGATAACAGTTTGACTCCCTCTTCTTTGTGGCGGCCCCTGAGATTTCGGATATATGCCGATATAAACTATGATCATTATCTTCCATTTACATAAAATAATTTAAGATAGCATTTTAATTAAAGGTATTAAATTTAAATTTAAAGGTATTAAATTTCCTTCTGGACCAACCATTTTCAGTTCTGAATGCTCATTTGATTAGTGAAAATAAAAAGGTGATTTTTAACCCTTTTGAAAATCATAAGGAGGGAATTCTAAATCCCTCTCTTATAACTTAATACTGCCTCAAATCATTCTTCACTTAAAAGACAAATATTTGTGATAGGCAACTATCTAACTTGAATAACAAATAAGTGAACAAACAAATGAATAAATACTAATCTCACATTTCTTTCATTGCTAAGAAAAAATATTAACCAGTTTTATTAGTTAGATTAATTTAATCTAACTAAATCCACTTTAGTTTTCTTATATGTAAATGAAAACTCTGAGAGAGATGGGCAGTTAAGAAATATGAAGTATAAATAAAAATGTACTGCGGACTAAAAGGAAATCTCATTTTGATAAATATATAAAACTAGAATTTCTCATAACTCTTCTAATATGTTGCTGATGTTACTGGAGTTAAAAGGAACATCCTAAATTTGAGATTATCTCCCCTCAAGGATGATTAAACACACTCCATACATATCCTCCTGTAGGTACAGAAACCATCCGGGTGATTTTGGGTCAGTTTCATCCCTAGACTGGAAAGTTCAAAAATATCTATTTATTAATCTGTATTGGGTTAGTGTGGTGGATTATCATCCATAACCTTCATTGAAGTAGCCTGCATCCTGCAGTGGATTGATTTAGGCTGATAATATCTATCTCTACCTTCATCTTTCTCTCAACAAACCAAAATACTTGTGTGTTCATGTCAACTTTAAGGTTCTTAATCACAGATGAAATCAATCCTGGAGACTGTTCAGCAGTGTTGTATATAGCCATATGTACACCCAAGTCACTCTCTTATTTTTGGCCAGATTTTTCTGTTTTCCAAGAATGAGAATTGCTCACTCACCAGATAATGAACAATCCAATTAACAGATCATCAGTTGGGTGGGAGGAATAACTTGTTTTCCTTTTGAATTAATGTAGGTTTAAACAGTTAATTAGATTATTATTAATAATCAATAGGGATAATAATAATACCTTTAATAAACCCTTCTTTAAAACTGAATACCATGCCCTTTATCATCATTGCAATAAAAAGAAAAAGTGCTTACTGCTACTGATGTCTTAGACTTCTCTTCATTTTCTATTCCTTCCCTATCTCCAGCATGCTCCCTTCCCTTATACCAAGAAGGATAGGAAGTAATGGAGAATTAATGGGAAAGAAAAAAATTATTATACTGGAAAACACAATATCAACTTTGAACTGAACCTGGCAGAACCATCTTTCTGTTCCTCAGTTGCCACACAGAGGGGGAAGGAGGCTGGGATGCATTACTAGACACAACAAAGAGCTTTCTCATGAGAACCAAGGTCATCTCTACCATCAACCGATAAGGTTGGGGAAGGAGTGCCTGAAGAGCCCACCAATTAATCCAATTGGCCAATGTGACCAGTGACACTTGAGGATGGGGTTATTTCCTAGTTTAATTATACTGTAACTGCGGGAAAGATTTAGATTTGGTTTTCCTTTGAAGCTGTGCCCATATGATGTACTCATTAAAAGAAGACCTTTGAGAAGGAGTTAAGTCTCAGAGTTCTGATTTGCTTGGGTTCATTAGTTGGAGCCTTCACATACATATCTTTCAGTTGAGAGAGATCTCTGGATGTACCCCAGTCATGTTGGAACTCAGCACTTGATATATAGTGACAAAACTGACTGAAAAAAAATCAGTTTAGCACTTTTAGTTATATGGGGAACTAGATGAAAGTTTCTCCCTCTCTTTCTCTCTCTCTCTCTGTATAGTACAAATACAAAGAGGCATACCGTAAGCAGCTTGGTCACCACATTGGAGCTCGTAGTATAGAAGATGATCCTAAAATGTTGCATTCTATAAATGTAGCCAAGATGCAGAGTGAGAGGGAATACAAGAAAGTTTTTGAGAAGCTGAAGACCAAATACAGCAGTCCTGTAGATATGCTGTCAGTCTTGGGAGCAAAGAATTGCCAGAAACTGGTCAGCGATATTGATTACCGTAATTATTTGCACCAGTGGACATGCCTCCCAGATCAAAATGATGTCATCCACGCTAGAAAAGCTTATGATCTGCAGAGTGATGTGAGTATAATTTCACCTTCGATCATATAAGTTGAGATAGGGGAAACTATAATATTTCAGGCACATTTCTGCCACATGCATGTACAATGCAAAGTATTGATAGTAGTTGAATTTAATTGTTTAACCGGAACAAATGCATGGATAAGCAGGTAAGACTCTTCAACTAGGTTGCTCTTTAGCTTCGTTCATGGCCTTATCTCTTTCTGTAAGCGTATATTAGAGACTTATACAAAACTCTGGAAAACCGTGAAACAAATATTATTAGTGTCTTTTGGTATTATTTTAATCCAAATGGTTTTTTCCCTACATGCTCACATTATTATATCAGAGACTGGGATTAGGACTAACTTGAGCATGACTTGGATATTTTCATGGTTTTCAAGTTTCATGGTTTTTTTACATTTTAATCAACATGAACACAATGTGTCATAAATGTCATTAGATCCAATTGTTTTTCCAAAAATACAAAACTACCTTTCTAATGAACGTTTAATTCACAGAATTGCTACAAACTGGACCTTGAGTGGATGAAAGGTATCGGCTGGGTCCCTATTGGTTCACTGGATGTTGAGCGTGCTAAGAAAGCAGGAGAGATCCTGAGTGAAAAGACGTACCGTCAACCTCCAGAAAATTTCAAATTCACCAGTGTGACAGATTCTCTAGAAATGGAATTGGCCAGGCATAATGCTGAAACCATGAACAAGGTGAATTCAAGCTAAAAAAGATTGGCTTGCTGAATAATATTTGAAAAAATAATGCAATTTGTCCAATAATTCCCATTTTCCATAGATTTAAAAATTGTATTTCAAACTTCATAATTGAAATATTGGCTGCTTTGAAATATGAACATGAGAATTTTCTTTCAGCTAATAAAACAACCTTACCTTATTATAGCTATTTAAAGATATTTAGTGATTCCAAATAAAATTTAAAAGGTCAGAATTAATGTAAAGTCCCAGTGATTTCCATTTATCATTATCATTTTCATTATTATTTTCATTTTAATCATTATCATTATCATTATTATCATCCTCATCCTTATCCAATTAACAGATTTGGAAGGGACCTTATAGGTCAAGTAGTCCAATCCCTCGCTTTCTGTACTCTCTATCTCATCCATATACATATTTGAGATAACTTTTTAAATGAAATAATGTAGCCCTTAAGATACTAATTCTTGGGGATAAGTACTGTTTATATCATATACCATCCACAAACTGTTATGACCTTCATATAGAAGGGCCCGGATTGTTGTTGGGGGCAATATGCTGACTCTGTAAACCACTTAGAGAGGGCCGAAAGCCCTATGAAGCGGTATATAAGTCTAACTGCTCTTGCTATTGCTATTCTGCTGCACAGAACTTTAAACTGTCTTTCCATAAATTGATGCCATCTACATTTGCTTGAATGAGAATTTCCATAATTTCCAGCTGGTACTTTTAGTAGTTATATTTACAAATCTGACAAGTTGTAAGAAGCCAAGGATATGGAACAAAATGTGATTGATACCTGTTTATCTAACAAATCTAAAAGAAGGATAAAACTGAAGTAAAACAAATGTCAAACTTCACACACAGTCCTGACTGAACAACATATTGAATCTGGATTTTCCTCTGGAATATGAGTCCTAACCATTAATGCAGGGGAATATGAGGTCTAAACATTAATGCAGCTGGCTGAGGAACTCTGGGAGTTGATGTCCACATGTCTTAAAGTTGCCAAGGTTGGAGACCCCTGCATTAATACATTATACTTGCTCTAAGTGGTGTCTTTTCTATTCACTAGATTTTTAATTTGATCTCAGAAGGCAGTCTCAATGCTGCAACAGCCAGATGCATGGAGGACTTGTAAATAGCCATCATTTTGTGCTAAGTTTCTTTCTGATTCTGTTCTGCAGAGGCTGTATACTGAAGCTTGGGATACTGATAAACGCACAATCCATGTCATGCCTGATACGCCAGAAATCGTTCTAGCGAAGTTCAATAAATTGAACTATAGTCAGGTGAGTATATGAAATAGTAAAAGTCATTAGACCAACTGGGTCTCCTTCAAGGATTTGCAGGCAATGGCAACATTTCCTACAGGGTCTGGGGTCCTGTGAAGATTCTGCTAAGGTATAGAATGTTTTCTTTTCTTTTTGTAGTAGTGAAACTAACATTTTCTTCTTTTTTGTAGAAATTGTACCGATTGGCCATGGAGGATGCAAAGAAGGATGGCTATGACCTGCGTCTTGATGCCATTCCAATTCAAGCTGCCAAGGCTTCAAGAGCTATTGCCAGTGATGTAAGTGGCTACTTGACTCCAGAAATAGTAATGATTTTTTAAAAAAGGAAATGTTTTGAAAAACAGCAAGTCACAACTTACTCTATATCCTACTGAACATAAAAATTATTACAGGAAGTATTTCAGATTTCCCCAAGCAGATTTATATGGGAAGGAATTCATACTGTGAATTTCAAAATCAGAGGGAATAGTTGTAGCTCTTTCTGAGGAATTATGTCCCTGCTTGTAAGCTGCTTTGAGTCAAAATGACTGGAGCAGAATAAAATAACTTGTAATAAATAAACACATGGTGTAAGTAAGCAAATTTTCCAAAATAATGCCAGAAAAATCTCAGCTGTTGTACAGGCAGCTGAGAATAAACCTGAGAAGAGAGATAGATAATAATTTGATAAATGAGCAGCTGTAAATCTAAACAATAAATTTAGAAGAATTACTGTAGGATAAATTTCCAAATCCAAGGTGTATCTGCATTTCTGGTTCATGTGAACATTGCTTCAGTGGCACAGAATGAAAGAAAAACCTTTTAATTTTGTGGATATTTATCTGCACATTTTAATCTGTGTGGAGGAGGAAAATGTAAATATTCTAACTAATTCTTGAATTATCTAAAATTGCTGTTTTAAACCTATGAATTCAGTGAACTATAGATAGAAAAGGATTTTACCTGCCAAATACAAATTTCAAACTTGATAAGGAAAATCATTAATAGATTTAGAATAACTTTATTGTCACTCTGAATGTACACTAATTGGCATACATTAAATGAAATTTCATTGCATACAGCTCTCAAAGGGTCACCACCTCCAATATATATACTGCATAAACAAAATAAATCAATAAATACAAAATTATACCCAGACATATTATATGACATGAAGAAACAACACAGTCTAGTTCAGATGTATACAAGTACATGGCGAGAAAAATGAATCTTGCAAGTTTACCAGACGGATGGCGTAGGGAACAGAGCTGTTACAGAATCTGGTAGACCTGCTAGAAATACTTTGAAACCTTGTCCCAGAGGGAAGCAATAGAAAAAGTGGGTGGTGGGTTCTCTAACAATGCTTTGAGCTCTAAGCACATAACGCTTATAAGCAGAATCCTGAATGACAGGAAGCAAGCTTCCTATGGTCTTCTCGGCTGTCCTTACCACTCTCTGAATGGACTTTCTCTCTGCAGCCACCAAACCAAACAATAATGCAGTTTGTTAAAATGCTCTCAATCATGCCTCTGTAAAAAGTAGCCAGGACAGAAGGAGAAAGATGTGCTCTCCTCATCCAATGCAGGAAGTGCAGATTATGTTCACTAAGGATGGTGTATTAAGAGGTGTAGCTAGCACCGCCCCCCCCCCAAATATGAAACCTTGATTATAAATATAATCTAGTATATTAGTTTTAAAAACAGAAGGGGACATTTAAAAAGAAAACAGATAATGGGGATTAAAAATCCCATTAAAATATATCAGTCTTTAGCTACAACCTAAAATTGGATGAGTGAATATTTTAATATTTTATTATAAGTTCACAGAAAAGATTTATGTTAGTTACTTTTAAAAAGATGATGTAAGATTTCCTTTTGAATTACTGAACAATTTCAGAACAAGTACTTTTCTGTGTTGGTAACTCAAATATTTGTGCATATTTCAGTACAAATACAAAGAAGGTTATCGCAAGCAACTGGGCCATCACATTGGAGCTCGTAGTGTGGAAGACGATCCTAAAATCTTGCATTCTATAAATGTAGCCAAGATGCAGAGTGAGAGGGAATATAAGAAAGTCTTTGAGAAACTGAAGACCAAATATAGCAGTCCTGTGGATATGCTGTCAGTCTTGGGAGCAAAGAATTGCCAGAAACTGGTCAGCGATATTGATTATCGTAACTACCTACATGAATGGACATGTCTGCCAGATCAGAATGATGTAATCCAAGCTAGGAAAGCTTATGATCTGCAGAGTGATGTAAGTATGAGGTGGGAAATGGATGCGTTGGTATTCTCCTACTGAGATTGGTCTGTGATTCATTAAAAGGTCCTGTGTGCAGGATAGAGTGGGAAAATATTTGAAGCTTTCCTTCTCTCCCAATAACTCTGCCTTACCCTGCCCTTGCAGTTCCAAATGATTCCTTGAGTATCAGATATAGATTGATGTGGAACACAGGATATGGTAAGGACTTGTCCATGTGTCCTTTTTAGGAAGGTCATTCTGTCAGCTGACAGAGATATTTAAATACTGAGGAAGTTTTCCTCTTTATATTACCCGTTCTAATGACTTGTGTATCACAATCTGAATTTCAATGCATACTGTTTCAATTTACACAATACTTCCCCCTCCCCCCCCAAAAAAAATCAGAAGTAAAAGAGGCTATGCCATTTTTTTTCCATTCCCTATCTTATTAGGTATATTTAATTTCTTATTATTTCTCTCTGGTAGTTCACAGATGTGTCAATTTCATATTCTCATGATTTCTTAATTTTCATTTGTACTGTTACAATATTCACTTTGGAGTTTTAAAAAATAACTTTGCATTAAAATTTACATGTTCTATGCACAATGTAAGAGAATATTTTATACCTAATAATAGTTTTCACAAGGATTTTAAAAAATGTTTTGCACATTATATGCATAGTGCAGATTTTTCATAATGTAACTTCGTACTGGGATAACTGTTTTATACAATTCACTTATGAATGTTAAAGTATGACTAGGTTTTGGGTTTTACTTTGGATTGAACACCCCCCCCCCAAATAAATGTATTAAAGATGAGTTGAGATTCTGCCACTCGACATTATTATTTGATTTTTTAAAAAATATTTATTCATTATATTGGCCCTAAATGGATAGTTAATAGCAACATTACACTTAGCATGGTTTTGGCTGTCATCATTATTCCTTAAATATGCATATCATGATGTTTATTTATATTTTATTATATCTAAAGTTGTTGAAAATCAGTTGAGTCACTTTTAGGTGAATTTCAGCATCATAGATCAATTTTCACCAGAAGTTTTCAAAATCAAATTCATAATTCAATTAGCCAGAATTTTTTTTCCTGCCAAAGTTGTTGTAATGTTGTAATGCATGTTGTTGTAATGCATGTTGGTTGATTTCTCTAAACAATAGTTTATTGTTACTTATGTTTCAGGCTCTTTACAAGTCAGATCTAGAATGGCTGAAAGGCATTGGCTGGGTGCCTCTTGGTTCACTGAATGTTGAACATGTCAAGAGAGCTGGAGAAATCCTAAGTGAAAACAAATATCGGCAACCACCTAATCAAATAAAATTTACCTGTATCACAGATGCTTGGGATGTAGAATTAGCAAAGCATAATGCTGAGATGATGAGTAAGGTAGGTTTTCTGAACAAAGTAGCTAATCTTCCATAACAGACAATAATTTGCTTAGGAAATGGAAAGATCACATCCTAAATTTAGGATATATTTAGCCTGTTCAGAGCCAAAATCCAAATAAAATCATCCTTCACTGACGTCTTTCTAGTTTCTGCTTGAATACACGTAGGGAAGGAAAGCTCTCCACCACTGATCATTGGTGGATCAACGAACTACTTTGTTAGTTAAGAAATTGGACTTTCAAACCAGTCAGATTGCAGCTCTCATAATTTTTAGCCAGTGTGACTATTGATTACATTGAAAAACTAATAGTACAGAATATCACAGTTAAGAGGAAAAAATATCAGCATGGGCATAGGAATGTAAAGACAAAGAAGGGATTGCTGCCCCATGAAAAATGAGCTGAAATCACGGAATTGTACTTGCAATAAATCACAAAATCCACTAATCTCTCAAAACCTGTAGCAATTTTTGGCATAAGAATCAAAGTATCTTAAGGAGTTTCTACCAAAGTCAAGTTTTGATTTGGATGCTGTTTTGATGTATTGAAAATCTTTTTTTTTTTAAAGAACATTGGAGAATTCAAATGCTCTTTGTTGATTTTCCTTGATAAAGTTGAGTTCTCGGGTCTGAAACACAGGAGTTCTTTTAAACATGTTCAGCCAGAAAATCTGAACTAGAAAAAAATGTTTTAATAATGTCTGGAAAATATAGTTTACCATATGGTACATATGACTTTGAAGCATGATACATTAAAATAGAAATTTCACTCATTGTGTTTCATTACAAATTTTAGATAATATTTTTAATGAATATGAATTTTTCTAATGTTATAGTTACACATTCTGTTTCAATTCAAATTTTCTATAGGCTAAAAAAAATAAAACATTTTCCCCCTTATTCCTTCACAGCGATTATATACTGAAGCATGGGATACTGATAAAATCAAAATCAATGTCATGCCAGATACCCCAGAAATTCTGCTGGCCAAGGCAAATGCTGCAAATATGAGCCATGTAAGAGATTGTTTGAATATTTAATAATTTATGGGGTTGTTTTAACTTTACAAGAACTAATATGACTGTTTGAACAAATTGATTTTAAATTCTAGATGCTATAACTGTGATTTTACAGTCAGGTATCTTTTCCTCACATCTTCTGCAGAAACTTTATGTCCAAGGATGGGAGGATACTAAGCAGAAAGGTTACGACCTGAGAACTGATGCTATTCCAATTAAAGCGGCAAAAGCTTCAAGGGATATTGCTAGTGATGTAAGCAGATGCTTTCCTGTCCAGTAACTTTCCTACATTTTTTAAAAAAAGAAGCCACAGAATTTTTTTAAAAAAATAATGAAATAGACAAGTGACCTTTAGAAAAGTTCATTAGACTGAGCCAGAATGATATATAACAAGGTTATATGTCTAATGGCTATAGATTGCAAGAACGTAGGGAGATTAATTTAAAATAACATATATTGATTTTTGACATTAGGATGCATTATTTGTCCCAGCTCAAATAACGTGGAATACATTTTTCATAATAAGAGCTGTGCTAAGACACAGTTTCTTAGCTCAATTTCTTAGCTCAATGCTTTAAATGCTCATTTAGGGTTCCCTTCTGGTAAATATGTAAAAAGAAGTCTGGAAGATGAGGAAATCTACTTTCCCTATTTGATTTTTTTCATTGGAATCATTTTATGTATCAGGCAAAAACTGGCTTTTTTCACCCTCAATCAAAAACTGTTGGAAAAGTGTATATTAGGACCCCTTCTTCTGATACCATGGTACAAAGGTATATTCCACAGTGATATTCAAATGTCACAAAATATATTAGTCAACAATTGACTCAATATGACATTTTGAAGAAATTTGAATCCAAATGCCCCCCCCCTTCTCTTGATTTTTATCACTTTAGTAGCTGAATCATTGTTAGCTTTCCTAGTAGCATGTATATTCATTCCAAAATGTATTGTTCTCTGTTACAGTATAAATACAAAGAAGCCCATGAAAAGCAAAAAGGGCATTATGTTGGGGTTCAAAAAATGGAAGATGATCCCAAGTTGGTATGGTTTGCCCATGCAGGCAAGATTCTGAGTGATCTGGAGTACAAGAAGAACTTTGAAAAATGTAAAGCAAAGATCCACTGTCCTGTTGATATGCTATCAATCTTAGATGCTAAGAATTGTCAGAAGTTGGTTAGTGAAGTGGACTATCGCAAACATTTGCACGAATGGACTTGCCTGCCAGACCAGAATGATGTTATTCAAGCAAAGAAAGCATATGACCTCCAGAGTGATGTACGTATAGTTCAAATGTAAAATGCATATGTCTGAGTGAGACTACCGTTCAGTGAAACATGTGAAAGGCATGCAAAAATTAATTCCTTCCTGAGAATGGAGAGCAGCTGACAAAGTGGATAATGGTACAACTTCCAACAAGATGGGGACATTTCTCATAGGAAATTCCTGAATGCAGTTTATCTCCCAACTCTGGAATAAACCCATTGTACTGTCATTTGCGAATCTATGTATTTGTTTGGAAGTAAACCATGTACATGTGTGTGCACGCACACCTGTGCTTTCAAGTCAATTTTAAACTCCTGATAACTGCCTGGATTCTTGGCAAGGTTTTTTTGAGAGTGATTTGCCCTTGCCCTCTTCCTAAGAACTGGCCCAAAGTCACTTAGCTGGCTTTGTACTCAAGGACAAGAACTAGAACTGATGGTTTCCTGGTTTCTAGCCTGGTGCCTTAAACTACCACACCAAAGTGGCTCTCTTGGTGCTCTTTTAAGCCTCGTGGATCTTTTTAAAAATTATGTGCTACTTTTGCATTACTGGAATAATATGCCACCTGTGCCATTATAGTAGACTCTGCTTCCAAGTGTTTCAGTGACATACAGTAGACTGTCCGTAGTTGGTGGGATTCAGGCAGCATATATAGTATGCTGATTGCATAGTCAGCCAGATGTTTATAATGGATTTCATATTTTTGTCCACCTGTCAAGCCCTTTTCAGGGACTTGGGATAGATAAATGTTTTATTATAGTTGGTCATATAATCAGCTAGATGTTCAGACTGAATTTGGTATTTTTATACATCCCTCAAGTCCTTTCCAAAGACCTAGGATAGGTAGATTCTGCTGTTTGATGATGCTAAGGATATAGGCTGTTTCAAGTAATCTCACCTTTTGTAATTGGCCAATAGTAATTTTGTCAATTATTTTTATTATGGGAGTTGCCTTTCATTTCAGTGGGAATGATCTCTGATGAAATAAATATGAATATCTTTACTGGAAAAGAAGTTGGAGAGGTTGATCAAGGCATTCATTACCCTGATGAATTTACATTACTTAGCTTAGTCCAGAACTTCTGTTCTCCCTAGAAAATGCTTGATTTTGTTTTTTTACAGAATGTGTATAAGGCAGACTTGGAATGGCTGCGTGGAATTGGCTGGATTCCAGAAGGCTCTGTGGAAGTCCAACGAGTGAAGAATGCCCAGGATCTGATGCGTGAAAGACTGTACCGGCAGCGGCCAGATTCTCTGAAATTCACAGCTATTGTTGATTCCCCGGAAGTTGTCCTGGCTAAGGCCAATGCTTTGATGCAGAGTGGGGTGAGCAGTATTTGTCATGCACCAGTTTTTTGGGGGCCACATGTTTCTATTTAAAATCAGCATTCACTGAAGTGAGATGCATTTCTATGATGTCAGTGAGCACTCAAAAAAGTGCAAAAGCTGCAGTTTTGTTGATAGATACTTGCTAGATGGATGTAGAAGGATTAATGTCTCCGCTGAAAAATATTGTGATTAAAAACAGAAAAAGTTTTATTTTGGAAAAAAAAAATTCCGAACACTTAACTACCAACTTGCTCCAGCTTTAGTTGTAATTGTAAATTCCCTTTAAACATTAAATGGAAAATATTTTTTGGAAGATTAAGGATTGCAAAGGAAGGGAAACTTTGCACATTTTATTTTAGGTTTTGGAGGGTTCCTTTTTTTAATAAAACTATAAGACTTATATTTTCCATGCATTTTCATTTCAGTATGGTAGAAAAATATGTGTGAAAAAGCAAACATTAAGGGTTTTTAAAATCAAAATCACTGTACTGATTTTCCCACATACCCACAAGCCATCTTCCATACTGCCTGTAGAAATATTGTGTATTTCTTTAGAACTTCTTATATTGAAGACACTGGGTCAATTTTAATCTAAGTGAAGGCTGAATTCTTAGACAATGGGAATAGGAGCAAAGATACATATAGTAGTAGTACTTGAGTTATGACTATAATGGGACCATTACAACTGTAAATTGTGATGGTCATAAAGATCATTTTAACATAGTTGTTAAGTGAAACTGTGATTTTCTTTGGGGTTGGTTTTACAAAAAAAAAAGGAAGTAAATGCCAGTTTACCATCACAAAATGCAGTCACATGACTACAGGATACTGCAAATAACCACAAATGCGGCCTACAAAGTGCCAGAGGTTCTGAAGGTGGGCAACCATCAGAACCTTAAATCCAAGTCAAAACTAACCCCCAAGTAGGTCTGTCAGAACTTTGTATAGTGACTGATCATAAATTGAGCATTACCTCTATGGTGTCTTTTCCTTTGGTTTTAAATAATGGATTTACAAGGGATTTATCTTTTGTTTCAGATTTGGAGATTTTAAGTCTAACTAAATTCCATTAAATTGCTGATAGAGCAGGCTTCCTTGACCAGGACTTGGCAATAAATATATCACACAGCTAAGCTTGTAATATATTTACTGTTTTCTTAGACAGAACTCTGCAAATATTTCATAGATATTGTTTAGCTAGATAGGAAAATTTATTGCAGGTAAGATAAAGCCAAATTGGTTGCTCACTGCCAGTGTAGCATTGTCAGGTTCTCTTACACCTGTGGTAATTTGCACCCATTGCTTTCCATTCTACCTTCCCATGAAATATCAATTCATTTGCAGAGCTTATTTTGGTCTGGAAGCCAAATAGTTGAGCGTAACACTAATTGTAAAACAATTTGAACGTCAATGTGTCCAACTTCAAATGAGGATATTTTTGTAAATGAAATATATCCCACAGTAGTAGGATATGTTATCATTAACCTATGATAAATGTTTTTCTCCCTTCAGGCTTTATATCGTGAAGTTTGGGATAAAGAAAAAACACAGTACACGCTTCCAATTGACATTCCTGAGATTGTTCTGTCCAAAGCAAATGCTGTGAACTACAGTAAAGTAAGAAATTAAAGAATTAAATATTAATGTTTCCATGCTCTCTCCTTATGCTTCTTCCTCTTCTGAAGATAAATCTTCTTTGATAGCTTATGACACTCTCCAAAGTTACAATTATATAAGTACAAATTTGATAATGTGAGAGTACTTTTGTAAGCAATTTTAAGGGTAACATGAAAAGCTTTCCCCTATCATAACAATCCTATATATTACCATTGTTTGTAGCCCCAAATCGTAATATACTATGAAATCATGTAATATGATATAATACAGGCCTGTCAAACTGGGGGCCCGTGGACTGTATTTATCACATGCAGGCCACAACCCACCTTCCGCAAAGGCAAAAAAGTAACGATACATCCGGAGGTAGGTTTCTGCTGGCATTACTGACGGTTCAGTGCATGCGTGATTTTGCACGCATGCACTCTCTTGGCTCGTTCACGCACCTGACACATACTTCATGCACATACACAGTTGCTTCTAAATAGGTCTGCACATGGGCAGAACATTTAGAAAGGTCAAAAAGGTGTAGGGGCAACCGGGGAACCGGTCCAGGGGCATGGCGAGCATGCTGTCCCTACCTATTCGGTGACCCAGTTGCCATTCCCACTACTGGTTCCACCGAACCGGTGCAAACCGGTAGGAACCCCACCTCTGGATACGTCACAATGCATCATGTTAAGCAATCGAGTTTAACATCCATGATATAATATATAAACAAATGTTACATATTTTTATAAATATGACATGCCTTGAAGTTGAATATGCATTATTTATTTCCTTTCACAGAAACATTATCAACTTGGATTAGAGGAGATGAAAAAGAAAGGCCACGACTTAAGATTGGATGCTATTGAAATCCAGCATGCCAAGTCTTCTAGGAATATTGCTAGTGAGGTATCGTCTGCTATTCTTTGGCATTTCCACAGTTGTTTCATCTTCTGTAAAATAAATAGTTAATGTTTTGTTCATATTTTTTTAATAAATATGTCTGAAGGGATCATACAGAACCCTGGCAATCAAACCATACCTGTCAGTTTCACTGCTTACAATTCATTCATCAGGTATTGGCTGTTGGTAGATCATAACTATATAAAAAGAGTGCACAATGCAATGTATAGTGTTGAAGTGTTGAAATGTAATTTTAGTAATAGATTATTTGTAATTTATAAAATTGATGTTTTGTTTATGTTTCATCATTAGTACAAGTACAAAGAAGGCTACCGTAAGCAAGTGGGACACCACATTGGATGCCGGGATATCCACGATGATCCCAAACTAGTGTTGGCAATGCATGTAGCCAAACTGCAGAGTGAAAGGGAGTACAAGAAATATTTTGAGAAGTTTAAAACCAAGTTCAATAGTCCAGTGGACATGCTGTCCATCTTGTTGGCCAAGAAATGTCAGAAGTTGGTTAGTGACATTGATTATCGCCGCTATCTCCATGAATGGATATGTTTGCCTGACCAGAATGATGTCATCCAAGCCAAGAAAGCCTATGAGTTACAGAGTGATGTGAGTAGAAAGTTACTACATCTTGCATTATATTTTTTGCCTTTTAGCTTATTTGTCTCATAATGCATTTGGTGAATTATTATGGTTGCATCTATAGTAATCCAAGCCCTGCATGCATTCTGCAGCCATCATCATCATTAAAAAATAAAATAAAATCCCATTTCTAATTGAATGTTAAATAGAACAGAGTTGGCTATCCATATATAGAGAATCATTTGCATAGAATTATATATATTTTTCTTTATTCCTGTATATTGACCATTTTAAATTTTAATCATATTTTGGTATAAAAAATAAGTAAACCTGTGATATATCTGTGCTGCTCTGCACTGAGTGGGATTATCGTAAGGAGAGTTACTTTATAAAAAGTACAATTTTCTGTAACTGACTCTTGTAAAAACTATGTGGCTTAGAAAGAGGATCAAGACAAATTCATTTTTCAAGTATTCCCACAAGCTAGTATGAGGAAACTTTTTATGCCTTTTATGTTTTATTATTGTTCGTAAGCCACCCATGTTATCTTATGATAGATAAAATGGACAATTGTATAACTAAATAAATATGTTGGTGACATATTTATGTCAACTGAATGGCTCTGTGTTGAAATAAGAGTAATTATACATTAACTTTGAGTAGAGAAGCCTCAGTGGTGTTTTTAGCAAGTGGAAATACTATCTTAATAGATTGATGCGTTTCTTTGTAGAATCTTTACAAGTCAGATCTGGAATGGCTGCGTGGGATTGGCTGGATGCCGGAAGGCTCTGTTGATGTGGTCAGAGTGAAAAAGGCTCAAGATCTTGTGAATGACAGGTTGTACAAACAACGCCCAGATGCACTGAAATTTACCTGTATACCTGACCCACCTCCAGTCATCCTGGCTAAGATCAATGCTCAACAGATCAGTGAGGTAAACTGAATATAGTCACTACCTCTGTGTTATGTGTGAAATGATAATGGGATGTGGCTGAGATACAGTGACCTTTGAAAAATTAAAGGGATTTTCTTTCCTTCTTCCCTTTCTTAGAAATTGTATCGTGAAGCGTGGGATAATGAGAAGACACAGATTAATATTCCTCTTGATATCCCTGAAATACTGCTCTCCAAGATGAATGCTGTGAATGTTAGCCATGTAAGATAATTAACTAATTGTATAAATTTTGTTAAGAATGTCAATATTCTTTTATTACATTGTCCTAAATATATTGCCCTACTTGTTAATTGCTCTTAAAAACATAAAGGTATTTGAGTTATAAGTTGCATGTCTATTCTATATTTTATTTTAAGAACAACAATTAAACTGATATTTCAATCTCAGGAACCAAAAAAGCATATATATATATTCAGCTGATAAGGAGGAGACCTGTGGCATAATGGCTAAGACGTTTGCCTAAGATGCAATACAGCACAGGTTCGAATCCCAGTAAGGGTATGGCTAGCTGATGAGAGCTAAATAGCTTGAAATATATATATATATATGTTTTTTTATTTGTGCTGATAAATAAATAAAGGGAGACTAGTATAGATCTATTTCAAGCTATTTAGCTCTCATCAGCTAGCCATACCCTTACTGGGATTTGAACCTGGCCTAATGGCTAAGATCTCTGCCTAGTATGCCTAGTGTGCAATATAGCCCAGGTTCAAATCCCAGTAAGGGTATGGCTAGCTGATGAGAGCTAAATAGCTTGAAATATATCTATACTAGTCTCCCTTTATTTATTTATCAGCACAAATTATATATATAGATAGATAGATAGATAGATAGATAGATA